ACCGTCCCGCATCCCCGAAACCCCTCTGATCCTGCAGTCTGCCGTCTCAAACGCCTTGTCGCCTGCGCTCCTCTCACCAAACGCCCCACTCCATTGAGGTGGGAGCAGCATCAGGGAGCTCGGTCCCCTGCTTGCGCGCGATTGTCTCGAGCTCGGCATGTCCCTCGAGTGAGAGGGCGGTACACGCGTCCGGGGACGCTGCGATTGCCAGGCGTTCGCTGAGGACGGCGTGTTCGTCATCTGTCAGGAACCCATGGCAGGTGTCCAGACTGCACAACAGCCAGTGTTGCGCATAGGGTTGAATGTCATCAACCTGGTGGAGGGTTACCCCACACCATGCTAGGTGCCAGGCAACGTCGTCCTCCGTCAGGTTGTCGACATGTCCTTCGAACTGCACGGGTTCGAACGTTGGGGCAATGGGCCATGTGTACATGGCCAGATACTCGCGGTACAACCCTGGTACCAGGGCCAACAGACAGAGGCAGTACCAGAATATGGTACGCCTCCGTTTGCTGGTCCCCTTGTTGAAGGTGGGGTTGAGGCGCGACGTGAGGAGGTGACCCCTCACGTCATGCAGACTAACAGTTCCACCCTCGAGTGGAACGCCGTGGAATTCTTTCGAGTAGAACTCGATCCAGTCCTTCCACTCCTGCGGAGTGGAAGTGAGCCTGGGTTGAGGCAACTCGCCCTCTTTCTTCACTGGCTTAGGGTGAATGCCTCGGGCAGGCACATTAGAACGGTTGGCGGCACCCGAGGGTGCCGCAGGAGGGTGGTCTTCTCTCCACTTGGCGTACCAAGTGGGAGTCCTCCACTCCTCCAGGACCACGGCCTGGATTCAAGTCCTTGGGGAGGCCTGTTGCGCATGTGCGATGTAGCGTTTGATCTTGAAGATCGCCTCTACGTCATGCAAGCATGGATCACACACGCGTGCAAAGAATCCGCACCATTCCGCATATGTGTTAAATAGCGGAATGGCATCTTAATGGGCGCCATCAAGGGAAGGTGGGGCCCTGTTGGCCATGGTGGTCTCCACATGCAGTCTAGCAGCGCCGGAGAAGCAGTATTCCATACTGCCAATCAGGACCACTAAGGTCCTGTCGTTTTCGCCTTCGAAGCAGAAGAACTGGTTCCCCTGCTCCCCCTCTAGCCACCCTGGGGGTCGCACGCCTTGTCCATAGAATATGGACTTGTCGGGCAGGACTTTGGGGGCGTCCTCCTGCGCTTCAGCGGCCTGGGGGGCAGTCTCGACTGCCTTACCCTTGCCTTTTCTTGCCACGGTCTTGCGTGGCAGGTTGGGAACAGAGCTGCTCGCCCCGTTGTCTTCGTAGACCGCTTGGGTCGTCTCCTCCCGTGATACTTGTATCGCGCACCTCATGTCGCACTCCTCCTCAGAGTTGGATTTGTCGGTGACGTATCCGAAGAGCGCTGAGTTGACCTCTTGGTTCAACTGTTTACGGGCCCGCTTGGACGGCTTCTCTGGTGGGGATGAGTCCCTCCAGATGTCCTTCCCTTTCCCCTTTATGGGGATCGGGGCTGTGGGTCCCTTCCCCTTTTCAGAGGTCGGGGCTGCAGCGGGCTTGCTTGCGGTGGTGGGCAACCAAGACATTGCCGGGGGTTTGGTTGATGACACGGACATTGTCAGAGGTTTAGCGTATGATGTGAACATCGCCTGGCCCAGTAAGGGCGGATCAGAAGTCTTACCCTTGTTGAGCAAGGGTGGTTTTGACGTCGAGGGGGGGAAGCTCGGCGCTTTGCCCCTCACCGTCGGTTTCGAGGAGCCGCTGCTCCCCTGCCCCCCATGAGCAACCAGTGGGATGCTCACAGAGGCCAGTTGCGCTGACCTACACGAAAAGTGTTTCATGTAAGGTCAGAGTACTATTACTCCGATAAATAGCAGAGGTATCCCATCTTGTAGAGCACCTCAAAAAGTATAGAAACCCTGAGTTTCATAATATTCTATCCGCTAATTACTGAGATATGAGCTATCATA